GAGAAGGAGCACGTCATCAACAGTTTGTACTTGAAAATATAATGTAGGCTTGCTGAATAAGTACAAATCAAAGGATTGACTTGCAGAGGCAGGAAATGCAATCATTATAGACACCAAACAAAATACCTGAGAAGAAATGAAAAGAAATTAGTTCACATGCACACCATGTTAGATATCAATTATCACAACTCAAAACAAAGAGAAAACTTACCTCGAAACACCCTGAGTGTTCAGAGGTTGAATGGCGATCAAAATTTATACTGAGAAGGAGCACGTCATCAACAGTTTGTACTTGAAAATATAATATAGGCTTGCTGAATAAGTACAAATCAAAGGATTGACATGCAGAGGCAGGAAATGCAATCATTGTAGACACCAAACAACAAAATACCTGTCAATAAGAAATAAAATGAAATTTGTCCATGTCAGTTTTTAACTATCACAACTCAAAGAGCAGAAAAAACTTACCCCGGGTTGAGGAGTGGCATGGTGATCAGAATTCTTTACTGGAGGGAGCGCGTCAGGGTGAACTTGTGGTTGACAATATAAATGCTTCCTTCAATGACACATACTTGTTCATTCCTACCCCTAAACAAAAACAAATTTGAATTCACACATACCCAAAGCATTTGTCTTCCTATAGAACAGAACTGGTTCAGGAAAAGACGTACCATATGGGTGAGCCAAAGTGATGAGAGGCTGTGGCATCTATATCTATAAGTGTGGAGGGAGCGCGTTGTCGAGTACTTATAGTTGAGAATGCTATGAAGTATTGAACGCATCTACGACGACTTGGAGATGAATATTAGAAAAGGTTGATGAACGAGTGCAACTCTTTGCTTTGCCTTACACCCAACCGGTAGTCAAATCAAAAGCCAAATAACAATAAACCTGTCAAGGAATAAATAAGATGCATTAACTCACATCCATTAACAAGAAATATTTTTTAACAAACTTAAAGCAAAGCAAAAGCTTACCACAGGAATCGTGTTGACAAGTTGAGAAACAAAGCAAATTCTTGTCCAGAAAGATGCGCGTCAACAACAGCTTTGACATCGTAATGTGAACAGGACCGCTGAATGGACACAAATGTTTCATGCTCCAATGCACTTCTCGAGAAGACAAACTGGTATATGACGACCACCACGAAAGAAATCTGGAATGAAATACAGATGAATCAGCTGACAAACATAACATAAGAACAACTTAGGAGAAAAAATGATTACTGATGCAACAAATTACCATATGAAACTCAAAACGATGACTAATTCAGAGTCAATCAAAATTATTTTAAAGGAAAGAATGCGGCAACAACAACATTGAGATGAAAATGGTAACGGCTTGCTGGATGTATACAACTTTCTTGATAGCATCTCTGTCAACGCCCAACAATAATACTGGCAAGAAATAAAGACAAATCAGTTCACATCCCTAGAATATTAGTACTCTCAACAAATTGAAGGTGAATATTACCTTGAAAGACCTGCAGATATAAAAATAATAACCCAAATTCTTCAGAGGACGGAGCGCATCCACAACAGTTTGGAGAATAAAACGTTAAAGTAGACTAGTTAAATGTGCACAATCTCCATCCAAATCGGCCACTGCAGAACAATAAAGACGAATTTTATTAGTAGTAGCAGTACAAGTGGAAGTGGTAGAATAAAGTAAGTTAGACTTTGTCAAACAACGCATGGGGCAAGGGCACCTAACCTTGCAGCCCAAGCAGCACAAGGAAAGTTTTTTAACAGGCACCAAAAATCACAAGAATTGTATCACGAAATACAATGTTAATACCTTCCAACACATTTGAAATCGAGAATGACCCTAACATTGACAAAGTGTGGCAAATGTGACTCCTGTTACATTTCTATCAGGTACATATTTCAAATACCACGAACCTAGTAACGGGCCGAGCGGGCCTCTACATATCAAAGGCAATATTTTGATTTTATTTTCAATATCTTTTATTTTAAAATTATAATAATAATCTACCTGAGCGCAGAGGCAAAGACAAGACAACCGTTGGGTACGAACCTGTTGGAACTTGCGTGAGTACGGCTGGCGGTGGCGAGCGGCGAGCGTAACGGTCCAAAAGCAAGGGTACCAACGTGACCCTCGGGATACTTCACGACATCCAGACAAAATATTATAAGCATTTCCACTCAAAACAATGTCCCGAAAGATAACGTGTAACTCGTGAACCATAATGCTTTATGCCAAATAACGTACGACGTACGCACCATCAATTTGAAACTTGCTATACCCTGGAAGAGCTATGAGAAACTGTCATGGAAGCAAGGCTTCTAATGCAAAGTATGAGAAACTGGTCAGCCAAATCCGCCGATACTCCATGCATGCACGTGCACTGTTTTTGATTTGAGTTCCCAACTATAGAGATGCTTCTAAATCATTGAATGTCAAAGCTTTAAAATTGCGAAAAATTGCTGTTAGTTGTCGCCCTAACCTCTCGATCATACTTGATTTTTTCTCTCCTTTAGCAGATTATGGACTCAGGTACTGTAGAATATGAGACAAAAGCCTGTGTCTGCCTATTAGGAAAATCATCATTTTTCTCCTTGCTTACAAGAACTTATCAGCCTCACCAGCTAAAGAGGTGCTTTTTTCACTTTTATTTCCACTTCACTGTTCTAGTGTTGAAGAGCAGAGTTTCATGCTGTTCTTTCCGAACAAAAGAAAGTGTTATGTATTCAATGGGTCATCTACTTTAAGCTCTATTTCTGTCATTTTATTAAGAGCGCTGCGTCAGCAGTGGTTAACACCTGTGATGTTTTTCCCAAGGTACCCCCAGCATCAGAATTCTGTCATATATTATCTGCGAGTTGCAATGATGGGAAGAAACTATCGGAAGACTCAACCTTAATAAATCAAGAACATTAAACCCATAATGATTTTCTGCATCTCGCACCCCTATTCTCCATGCAAGTGCTTAGTGGTTGGTTTCACATAGAATTTTATTTCTAAATAAATGTTGTTCTTATGCACTGTGTAACTTGTCTATATCGTATTCTAGGAGGCATTCTGAACATCAAGTAGGCTCAAAAGTAACTCAAAGATGGGGTGTAATGAGTTAACGTAAACCACCTCAAGGAAGTCGGTATCTCTGTAAGTTACTCAAAACTCAATTTTTGCACAGTCTATTTCGCATTTGTTTGCAATTGAAAATCAATATACTAATTTATTAATTGTTTTATAGGGTCACCCTGAAAATCTTCTCTCTGCGGTCAACTTACACCATTCCAGTCTATCACCAATGAGGTTCAACTAATTTTAACAAGCAGCACCTGGAAGCTCTTCAAGCAGTAGCAGCGATGAAGAAGCAGTTCCAAGTACTGCAGGAATTTGTCAATGAAAGTGAATATATGCTAGTAATGATGTTGATGGTGATGTAAGTGCGGGCCTTGTTAAAATGTTTGATGGTTGCTTGTTGTCTTTTGACTAGGGTGTTCTGTCTTCAATGAACCTTTTCGTCAATTAAAAATTAGACCAAGTAACTTTAGATTCTTTTAAAAAAAAGTGTTCTGACATTCATACCCACGGCCAAATGATAGCCTTAAAACTATTACTTCTACTAATCAACTAATCAACGGTGTGAAATTGGCTTGTGGAGTTCAAATATACAAATTACAAGTTGCAACCAACTCTACTTTCATCAAATCGATATCACACCTCACAATCAAGTACAAAGTTTTAAGTTTAGTGAAAAATACATTTTGTCTCTTGATCCTTTGCACCTTAAGAGACAAATTAAGAGTATCTTACAAAGTTCTTTTTGGCAAAACTGCGTATACATCTTCTATTTATTCTCGACAAATGCGTCGCAATAATTTTACTGTTTGCTTTTCAAACACATCAGGCGCCAAATATTTTGGTATGGAAAAAATATCACATTAAAGACAGTGATAATTTAAAAGTTGCCATAGTCAAGAAGATTTCTCTTGAACTCACAAGAGTGGTTTGCCATGACAGGACAAATACACTATTTCTCCTGTTATTCCAAAAAAAGGAACTGAACGATATGTTGTTGTTTCTATTTTAAAAAATATCCTGTATAAAGTTTTAAGAGTTGGAGAATTTGTGTTTTGTAGACCCAACTCATCTAAAGAGAATGTGTGAATCATGTGCCAAATGTAAAAATATGAAACCATGTTCTGTTCAGCTATGGTTTTCATCCACTTTTTTCGCCCCACAACACAGCACACTTTGATTGGCTCGCAGCAGCTTGCTGCTGTGCTTGTGATTTTAAAGGTTCTTACCAAAGGCTGCCGTGTAGTGCGGGGCCCAGCCCAGGGAGGGAGCCCCTCCAATGGCGAGGGGGTCTGGAGGACGGAGAAGAGAATGGCACGGTGGCGGGGCTCGCTCACGCGACCTAGAGGAGGCTCCCAAGCAGGACGCTTACGTCGCCGGGCGTGGCCGGAGCTCCTGGACCTGAAGAAGGCTTTCGAGCAGGCGGGCGAGGACGGCGTCGAGCGGGGCGGGCGGCAGCACGGGTCGGCCGACCAGGACCTGAGAGAGGCTCTCGAGCAGGAGGGCGAGGACGGCGTCGAGCAGGGCGGG